TTACGAGCAGAGAAACGTTTATTACGATTTGAAACTCATTTGTATGCCTTGGGAAAACGAGCGGAATTTCCTTCTGCTTTGGCGTCGAAAAGAAATTGAATTTAGGTGGCCTCGACTTGTCGAAGTGCGACTGGTACCATCTATGAAAACAACAGTACATTAGCCATCTCCGTGATAGTCAGGGAGATCCTATCACATTCTGATGCAAATATTCGTCCATGGCGGCGGCACTTTATGCGTGCAACCTCTATTTGAACGCAACAGAAAACATTCGGACTATTCTCACCCGAAAGGTGCAGCACGAAAATACGAATCAGAGGAATTGTTGATTAGGGAGTGGAATAATATCGACACAGACATGATTCAAAATTTTATACTGAGTAATAAAGAGACTTCAATGGATGAAGTCCTTGAGGGATGCAATACTTTTGACGCTGTGAAAATTTGGTTTTGTCGACATATTTTCGTCGAAATTAAGTATATGTATTTTGATGACATTTTGGGATTTCGGATTTTCATTCGGCTGCCACCTGGGTTCACAAAACATGATCATGACGGTGAATGTGGGAACAGAGATAATCCAAAAATCTCTCGGGCGGGGGAGAGAGTCCACTACTTTTGTCGCGGAGTGTATACCTGAATTAGCTAGACAATGACGTCATTGAAAACAAGCTTGTTTGCCACAGCGTGTGAACTAAGCTTGAACGATGGATTTGCACCGCTGATGAGACCGAAAAATGTCGAAACATCTGTATAGTGTTCATATTTCCTCTGTTGTTTGCTTTGTTCCATTTTCTAAAGTAAACCGTGGGCGCCAAGTGAGTTGTGAACTACGCAGTCGTATGGAGGGCTATAGCACAAATCGAGTTGAATTTGGATTGATTAGCTAAGAAAAAACCCGATTTTAGAATCAAAAGCTATGTCATAATCTGTGGTGATACGTTCTTTCTCTAACAGGAGAAAAATTTTGACCGAGTTCGAGATTAATCCTTCCAGCTCACAAAGCTGTAGGATATTCACGGTGATGTGACTAATGGGCACAGTAGAACAAGGGTCTGATTGAGGTACACCTTAGATACAGGTGTAACAAAATCAGAGTTGATTTTCCACACGGTCCGAGAGATATGTGTGTCAAAATCTTCAGTCAACATTCAATCTTTTTCCGAGGAGAGGGGTCATTTCATTTGGTTTTCCCGCTTTCTATGATCCAACGAGATACAGTCATTACCGTTGCATTTCAGAATGATGGCTCAGCTCTACAATTTCATTTGGTAACCTATAAACCTTCATTTACTATTTTTTTTTTCTTTTCGTTCTGGACAGACTAAAATGTCGGTACAAACAGTTAGTTCCTCTGAGGTGAATATTTAGTGATAGTGATATATATATATATATATATATATATATATAATCACGAATGTTATTAGATACCTACTTAAAATATTTTTATATCATCCTAACGAACATTTCTATTTTCTACGACGGTAATGATGATGACTCGGATGATGAATAGGAGGAGGAGAACGAGGTGGATGCTGAATACTGTTCAGCGGCTATCGCTCACCATAGGTAGGAAGTTTATTGTATTGTCATATTGTACTGTA